TTTAATATAAAAATAAAAATTATTTCTTAATAAAATTATAAATTTTAATATAGAGAGAAAATTTTAATTTTCACTATGTTTTATTAATAAATTTAGTCTCTGAGTCATTACTTTTGATCATTATTGTATCTCTTTTTAATTATCTAATTTTGCTTTTCCAAGTATGAAACTATAAAAAGATTTAATTATACTTAAATATTATAAATATTTCATTATCATTTTTATCTATTTCTTTTCTATAAGTATTAAAAGCTAAATATTTATTATTTTATATATTTATCTATATTACATAACTTATAAATTTATCTGAAAAATCTTCTTGATATGTCAAGCTCAAATCAGTAGTTTTTTAAAAAATCATGTACTTTTTCTTCAACTTTGATTTTTTCTTCTGTATTTTTATAACAGAGAGCAAGATGGAATTGTGCTTGAAGAAATCCAAACTTTGCTGCTTTCAAATACTATTTGAGATCTTTTTCTTTATCTTTTGTTATTATTATAATAGAGAGAGCAAGATTAAATTGTACTATAGTATTTTTGGACTCTGCTGCTTTTAAATATTATAATGTATAAGGAATTTTCAAATTTTATTTCATTATATTCTTTTAGCAGGAACTTCCATATGTTTTTATCTTTTCTACAAATAAGAGAACTAAACAATTCAATTGAATTTATTTTTGTGTGAATTTTTTTAGCTTTTTCAGCGTTATAAATTTAGTCTCAATTTGTATTCAGCTTATTGTTATACATATTTTACGCGTATTTAAAAGTATCTTTCGTGATCTTGTCTGATATGAAAGATTGAACTATGATATAAACAACTTAGTCGCATCAAATACTGCGCCACCGCTGAATTTTGAAGGATTATAATTTCCAAATAAGATGTTAAAATCGAATTATTATTTCCAAATAAGGTACCCCAAAAAGTATCGCCCGGTTCAAAATTATATTAGTAAAACATTCCCAATAACACGAATTCTTACAAGAATTCTTACTTTGCTTTCCCAAGAATGCGATTTATCAGTAGGGATTTATACAAAACCTAAAATTCTACCAAAATTCACATTTTGTGTTGTACGTAATAATTTTACTTTTTTGTTTCGAAACATAGCATGTCCCTTTTTGTAATAATTCATATTTCATACGTAGTAAATCGCGAATTCTTGTAATAACTTACAATTTGTATTCTAAATAGTTATACAGAAGCAAATTGCATACAAAGGATGGCTCTCAAATGTCAGGAGAGACTGGTTTGAAGAAAAATAAATATGAATAATTTTAACTCTTATCTGAAAGCGCATCAATTTTATTTCTTTGTGTCTTAACAAAATTGATAGCTTTATTTCTTTTATGCTTAGCAAAATCGAAGGCTTCACTGCTTTGGCCATACAAAAGTTGATGAACCGTGTTTGATTCTTTGTTACGTTTGGTTCTTTGATTTGATTATTTTGCTGAATCATATTATTGTTTACAGAACAAACCTATTTAGTGGATTCGAAAAGATATTATTTAAGTTCATTAATAAATATTGTGATTATTTGTGTTATCTTTAATTAAAAGTTATCTTTGTTAGTAAATAGTTATTAGTCTGTTATTTGAAATCAAATGTTATCCTTACTTTAGCTTTGTCCTTTTGAATTCCATTGCCCTTGAATGCATGAAAATTTCCAATGGATCTCTTTTGGAAAATTAACAATATTGTATATCTTGCAAAAAGCTTCTTATACTGTAACAAATTCGAAGTATAATAATAGTTACTTTTGGAATGAAATAACTAAAACCCAATTACAAATTAATAATCAACGGTGTGACTTACCGTATTTTGCGGGAAATAAGAAATATTCTCTTTACCCTCTCAAACGAAAAATACATGATTGTATGCCCTATTTTATTGTTAATATTTAACATTAACATTAATAAATAGAACGATAAATTTTAAATTCCATCATTATACAGTAGATGCATCATAATTGATGACCAATTAAAATCAATTTTTAACGAAGCAGCTGATTAAAAGTTTGTAACTATTTTTTTAAGGTCCAGATGATCCAGAGTTACAAAAGAGATCCATCCACAACGGCTGTTAACAAAACTTTTTTATTACAGCAATAAACTTTTTAAATCATTACTTTTTTCTTGATTACAAATCATAATAACTCATTCCTCATGCGATTACAAGACACAAGACAAAAGATAAACACCCACCACATAATACTTCATACCTCTTCTATTCGTGATGCGATATAAGACACAAGACAAAAGATAAACAAAACAAATGCTTATCCATAATGCGATTACCTACATGAACAGGTTTTGCATATGTACGTATATATACAGTGTAGCATCAAAGAGTAAATGACTCGGAGACAGCCATTTGAAGAGTATAGGTAAATCGGCGTTTGATGGTGGTGTGGGGGACTAGCCATCTGTGTGTGGTGGACTGCATGTCTTCGTAGGTCTCGAGGTTACCAGAAGATACCCACTGTTGTTGCCTGTTGAAATATGTATATACTTATTGTGATAGCTATTAAAATATTCTTTTCATGTCACCACATTAGGGAACCTAAATCGCACAGATCGAACGGTGCTCTTTTCACTTCGATGTAAAATATGGTTGATATCATGGGTATAATTTAGTGGCAAAAATAAAGCATTTATAACTATCTTTGCCCACACTTTATACTTGATAACTCATATTTTAGTATTGGATTTTGATAAGCTAAACTCAGATATCAGTCAAAACTACGCTGAATTATTTGAGTAATTTCAACATCCCGACACCAAACTTTCTGACATTCCAATTAACCGACATTCTAACTTCTCGTCAGCATAACATCCCGCAACCTAGCATCCCGACATATCAATTTCCGGCAAAACTCAATTTCCAACTTCCAGAAATAAACCTAGTTTTTTGGAAAGTTGGGAAGAGTTAGGGTTGTATTTCGGGGATGTTGGATTATCGGGAAGATGGATGTCGGAATGTCCACCCGAGTAATTTTGTTATTGTACTACAATCTGATTTTAGACTTTATGTGGTCGATAGGTATACACGGTCGACAAGTTGAGTTAAAATTACAGTTGACGACATAAAGATTCAGAATTTTTTTAACACACAAAAAATGTCGTAGGTAAGTCATATTTTTGTTTTTTTTAAAAGTGTTTACACTATATAACATCTCATGATCTATGTAAACTAAGATCAACGATTATATGAAAAAGATGAGGCTTTTTTGAAAAGTTATTTAATTTACACCAAATAAATTGATAATTATAATTTGGGCACACATTATATAAGGTAATTTAATTTTATCTTATTATTAAATTTGAGTTAAAAGTGTGATTGCAGATTACAAATTACACAACTATATTGATATTAAAATTTAACGACATAAAAAATTTTTCTTAAGTTTATCTTCAGCTTGTTCTTGTTGTATATCTGTTTCAGAATTTGCTGAGTTCATCTTTGATCTTTACCAGCTGTAATCTGGAGACATCGGCTAGCTGGAGGAATGTCGTCTGCGCGATACGCTCATTAGGTTCAACATAGTAAGTTCTTTCCAAATCGTTATGCAATAATATTCTGATATTGCCAGTGTATCCAGTATCGATCGTTCCCCTTTTTACCTCGATCATTTTTTCGCTAGAGATAATCAGAAAGATAACTGACACATTGTTCCTACAGGAATTTCAAAGACAATAAATAGATCAATCATTATAGTCTGGTGTGGATCAATCCTAACAATTGTTTTGTCGGGTATCATATATCAAATCCCACATCAATCAGAGGAGCTCGTTCAAGTATCTTCTCTTTATTATCTTCGTTAGTAATTTTGCATCTTTGTAGGTGAAACTTTTCCCTTTCGAATCAGCTATGCTCTCCTTTTCTTCTTGAAACGCCAACTGTTGCTAGATCCGTAATATCCACAATTACACGGTAACAACAATAAACGCAGATTGGTAAATACATATGTTGGAATGACTTGGGAACATAGATACAAAACTATCTCAGCTATCGAATTCTATCCTCCGAACACGAGTAATCGATTCAATCTATCTCTTCTTTCACATCGAATTCGGTGATGTATCTTGCTAAAATTACTTTTCCTATTTCGTTGCATTCATTGTTCAATGTTATTAAGTTTCCAGTATCGCGAAGCTTCTTAATCGTTCCCTTTTATTCTTTCATCATCTCTCATGATTGAACATATACGTACTGTGTTTAAAATAGGTGCAGAAATACTTCATCGAGCAACGTCCCTTGATTCCATACATTTCGCATGCAGGAGCTCAGTATCCGCATTATGCACAAATTGATAGATAAAGTTTTCTCTTGGCTAAATATTCTTCACAATATCAATTCTTTGTGCTATCCCGCTTGAAAATCGAAGACTTTCCCCGAGTTCCGCTTGTTGATAACATACCTTGCATCTTATTGTATATTTATTGTCCTGAAGGAAGGCAATATTGCCTTTTTCTACATCAGTCGTAGGGTCTATAAAATTATCCCCAAAGTCGATTATACTCTCCATATAGCTCTTCCGGAATTTCTTCCAAAGCATTCTTAGGCATATCACATCTTGGATTTGTCCATTGAGTGAAATCTTTGTCGTATTTATAATATTCTTTCATTCGTTGTTGCGGATGTCAAATATTATCAGTGGGTTTGGTCCAAGACAAAGGGTATGACGGAGTTTGATCAGACTTTCATGGTAATATATTATAGTTACTTCGAGTACTAATCCCTTGTCGATAGCTCCCTTCATTTCTTTCAGATGTCCTTTTCGTCAGCCGACGAGAAACACATCCACAATCGACTATTTCATCATCTCTACCACCCGCAGTTATTAATTTTTTCCCACCTATATGTGAAATTGCCTCCCGAAAATATGAAAGATCTTGATAACTACTGTATTCTCACGAAAATAAGCATTATTTAACTGACAACAACGCCAGAGCGTAGGATCGATTTTCCGAACACGTGATTAGCCATCAATTAACCATAGGATCAAAATAAAATCTAATTTAAATACCTTGACAAGTAACGATAATTAACTTTAACATTGAAACTATCATTATATAAAAATACAGAGAATGTTCTCCAAATTTTTCATAGTTCTATTGTCAAAAATACATGATTGTACTAAAATTAACATATTACATCAAACATGGGACCTCTACTACCCTAGCCACGGCAAAAAAAAGTGTCGGGTCATGTGATTTTTAAGGGTAAACCAATCAAATCGCAAGATCAATGTGTAACGATAATAGTTGTTAATTAGGATTAGAATTGTAATTAGGATTATATTCCACGTGACTTTATAATATTAAAAAGCACCACTATGAACAGTATAAAGCAAAATTTTGCAAGGAACATTTTTTGTTAGAACAAAAAATGGGATTTTATAGACAAAATTTTGAGATACAAGCTATTTTTCAAAAATAAACAATTGTTTTGGATTTTTTCCGTTACACATTTATCTTGCGATTTGATTGGTTTACCCCTTAAAGGGAATTCAAAAAATTATTAATCCCATCGCATAATAAACAAACGCGTCACGAAAATATTCCTACAAACATACGATTGATTTATGTATAAAAGGTTTCATTCGTCTCATTTTTTTATTTTTTTCTCTCTTACTCGCTTCTTTACACATTTTTTTGTCTATTCACTTATGCTTGTTAGCTTTACTCTTTCTCGCTCTTGTCCACTTACTATTGCTCGCCTGTTCGCTCTTTGCCCACGTTCGCTTGCCACACTCGCTCGCCACTCGCTTTAGTTCACTCGTCCACTCGATCTTGTTCACTTTCGTTTGCCTACACCTATTCCCACTCTTGCCTACACTTTTTTTGGTTCGCGTTGCCCACACTCTTGCCATCTCTCGCCTGTTTAATATAAGAGGTATGTATAATTGCTATCATATGAACGGGGTGTTAGGGTTTTCTGAAAAGGTGATTTGGCCGATTTCATTCGATCTTTTGACTAACATTCTTTGTTTAACCAAAAGGGATAATGATATCTTTCTAATGTAATGTTTATTAACTAACTTTATGCTTCTATTAATTTATTTTATTTTATCCTTACAACAAACTACTCATCCTGCTAATCTCGGTAAATACTACAGTATGCTATAGCTTTTAATTCGCCGTTACTCATTAAATATTCTCCCGGTTCATTGATTCTACCATCACCAAAGAAGCCCAAGACTAGAACGACTATAATAATGACCACGATTCATTTTGTGCAACTTGTGAGTATGTGGGAAAATCGTATTGCCGTTACTTTCACGCAGTCAACTTGACGTCTTTTCCTGGGTGTGGAATATACTATGTAGACATAACTTGGTTATGCTCATAGTTGACCTGTGCGCCATTTAGACTGAACATAATTTGGAGTGCATCCCCTTTCTCCTTTTTTTTTTTAAAATACAACCCTTCCCCTTGTTTTTCAACTAGTATACAATTTTTGCACTACAAATTATGGGATTCGTGGGAGGATTCATGAATTAAGAATTGAAAGCACATCGTGGCCACAGCCTTGCTGTGAACGTTCTTCTTGATTCATGATATGAGCATACTTTCTTTTTTCATTTTTTCGATGCTCATTGGACACCTTGATTCATTTCTTTCTTTTTTTTTAGAGTTATCAACACCAACCATCATCATCGCAAAATTTATAACCGGTATAAAGAAGCCTAATATTAGAATTACTCGAGCGAGGAATGATGATGACAACGATTAACATTTAATGCATCTTGTGAACATTATCCTGACTGACGATAATATGCATCCTTCCTTTTTTTAACATATTAGTTATTCTCAAAATTCTATCTCACGCCTGACCAGTGATTCTTTTTTTTTGAAATTCGACACTATGGTTCAGAGTACAGTATAATGCTGCCTAATGTTCCCTTAGTAAAGTAATCTATTCTTAAAGTATGGGATACTATTCAACTCCGAATTCTGACATTTTTAAAAATTCGGCGACTTTGGGACGCGGTATCGAATGTCCAACTTTCCAACTCGAAAAAATCCTTTCAATTTATCGAATCTATACTAATCGAATTTTATATTTTGTACAAGTTGGACCGTTGGACGACGTCGGTTTTCATAATGATCGGTTAGTCAATACAGTAAATTGCTGGCCGTAAACTGGACACTATTTTGAAGTTAGGGCAGACATAATAAGTAATATGGTTTTTGAAATTTTTTATTACATGTAGTATTCCATGATGTGTTTGCATCCATTGTTTTTTCGTTTTTCACTTTTTTTACTAATTAAAATTCATGATTTTGATCGACCAATCTAATCCGGATTTATATTGGCCCTTCTATAAAAAGAGCAGAAAAGAAAAAGGAAAGAAATAAAATTGCGTACATTATCTTTTCTTCAAGAGAAACACTTGTAAAAATCGCTTTATTAGAATCGTAATTCTAACGTGTTGGTTAGGTTCTTTCCACCAGAAAAGATGACTTGTTGGTTAGGTTCTTTCCACCAGAAAAGACGACGAATTGGTTAGGTCCTTTAGTCCAGAAAAGGCGAAAAGCATCATTGATTGAATGATTTGATTGATCCGAGTTTAAGGCTTTTAGCTAGAAAAAGCACAGGAATAAAAAGAATAAATTAGTTAATAATTAATATACAAATTCTCCTTTACCCTACCTCATAATTACCTTTGAAACGATCATATTGAACGATATCCGTAGATATCGGCATAGGATTTAGAACAACTGATAAAATTAGTCTAATCGCCCTCTCCCACCCACCATCACAGTTCACAAATTTCCCCAAATCCACAAAACTTCAACCCACCTGTGACAGTACTTCCTTAAATGAGTCCTAATGGAAAACCATACACTAGCACTGCAGATGTTTGTAACTTTGGGATGGTTATGTACGAGGTTGTAACAGGTGAACGACCATTTGGTGAACGGAGTCAATGTACATCTTGTATAACGATGTAAAATATTGGGAACTGAATTCTTTACATTTTCAGTATTACACCTCTAGAACATTCAAAACACATGAAGAAACTAAAGCTTTTCTGAAAATAGATAAACAGAAACTAAAAGAACTTGATGAGGCGATGGAATCGTAAAAAATTATTTCAAATGCAATTTATACGAGTCGAATGTTTACTTCAAAATTGATATCAATCCTAACTGATACAGTTATGTATATTTATTTTATATTCAATTAAATGACATTTTAGATTGATTTATATATATATCAAATATTTTGGTTCTACAAGTGTTAGTTTATATGTTCAAATAAAGGTAATTTCACTGTTTTTTAAAAAATACAGTAAAATCAAATACAAAGGGTTGGATTTGCATGTGATAAAGATATCGGTGCCAAATCAACAAACGTCAGTTAATATGTATCAAATGAAATAAATGATGGTACATATATAGATCCTAGATTGCATGTTCCGTATGAAGGTAAAACAATTATTTTTGAAGAATGCAATAAAGTTCGATATTAAAATGCTTTATTTGCATATGATATAGATAATGCCAATTCAACAAGGGCCAGTTTAAATGAAAAATTACAAGTTTATGATTGTAGCAAATGCATTTGTTGTCAAGAAAACAATCGTTGCTATGAATGTTTTGATTATTACTATCAGCTTTATAAAGATGAATTAACTAGCGAAAATAAGGGTATCGACAGTCTAATAGATGAATGCGTGAAAATCAGAAGGCATCTCCAATGGATTCCTTTTGAAAAATTTACTAGCTTTCATCTGGTACTTCGTGATCTAATAGCTAAATAAATTTGGTACCAATTTAGCTGAAAATTAGTATGTAGATAGTTCTCCCTAGGGAGCATATTTTTTTATTAGGTCAATCCGCTTCAATCCTCCCTAATAACAAAATTTTGAATTAAAATTTCTCTAATTATAAATATTCATGTAGATAACTCAATTTCTTTAGAATGGCAGCATCAATATGCTTTTTTTTGATATTCTATAGGTTATTAGCTTTAAAATGAGCATAGGAACCAGGTATAATAAATCAATATTAGAACAATAGAATTATTTTTCGTAAACTTTTCGTGTTGCATTTCTTCTGTGAGCCACTGTATCTCGATATCAAGTGATCGAAACTATAACTATATAAAGAATACTATTTGATTTACATAACTAGACGAATTGAAAGCTGATATTTTTATGCAATTCGATCATTAGGCATCGAGATATTGCATATTTCGTCGCATGTAAAAGAAAAAATTATCTTGTCAATCATTTTTCTTAAAATCACATTATTCATTTACATGTATCTGCAAAGGATTAGATCTTTTAAATATGATAACCTCTCTCCACAGCTTTAAGATGGTGAACTGTATATTATTTAGCTGAGAACACATAAACATAACCTACTTTTTATTACCACACTTGCTCACTTTCACTTGCTTGCCAGCTTCGCATTCTTGTCTATTTCCACTTGTTTGTTCATTTATGTTTATTTTTTGCCTACGCATTCATCTCGTTCTTGTCCATTTGTAAATGCTATTGTTCTTTTCTTGCCCATTTATCTACCTTCTTGTCTCTGACCCACCCACTTTACTCATCGTCCACTCTTGTCTATTTTACTTGCTATTAACTCTCACCTGTATGCTTTCATTTCAATTTATTTTTCATTTCTCTGCAAAATATCTACATGTTCCACTGCTTCTTCATATATATTATAAAGAAGATTTCTTCCAACTAATTTATGAAAAATGAGCTAAGGTTTGGCCATGGTTAATAATGAGTTATCATTC